ATAGCGGTATGTTGATTGCGTCGGTATTCGCACAAGACGCCGAACCGCTCTTACCCCTGACCATTCATGTTGACTAGACGCGAAGGTGAAGTGTGACCCTTGAAGTGGAAGGAGACGGAGGAGAACGACGACGTCGACGACGTCGACGATGACGGCAACGAGGGGGCTGGTCGGCGTTCGCCGCGCGCCGTTGCCCGCCGCGCAGGCACCTGAAGTCAAGGCCCGGGGGCCCGTTCCCGGAGGGCTCCAGCAATCCGCCGAAGCTGGGCTGGATCCAGGCTTCGAGGGAGGGTCTCGCCAGGGATCTCAGATGATGCTGGTGTTGATGATGATGATGATGATGATGATGATGGTGGTGATGATGATGAAGATGATAATGGTGACGGTGGTGACGATAAAGTGATGATACTGGTGATGAGGATGTTGAGGATGAGAAGGATTATGATTATGCTGCTGCTATTGATGATGATGATGGTGACGATGGTGACGAGAAAGTGATGATGGTGATGGGTATGATGAGGATGAGGATGAGGATGAGGATGAGGATGAGGATGATTATGATGATGATGATGATGATGATGATGATGATGATGATGATGATGATGATGACGACGACGACGACGACGATGATGATCATTATGCTGCTGCTGCTGCTGCTGCTGCTGATGATGATGATGATGATGATGATGATGATGATGATGATGGTGATAGTGATGCTGACGTTGACGTTGATGTTGAGCACTCACTTATAAGGCATACAGTTGTTTATACTCCCTGGCCGGTGTCCATGTATCTTCTCAATTGATGTGTTCACCTGCGGCTTTCACTTTGTTTTGTATCATGAGAAGTCTTGAGTCTCAAACTGGGCCCCAAGGCCCCGGGCTACAACAACAATAACGGTTTCCGCCTGATACTTCTTGCATTTTGTTCAAAGTCACGCTCTTGCTGGAGACTTTCTCACAATTCACGCAGGAATCGCGCTCTCACCAAGGACTTCTTGCAATTTACTAAAGCGCCGTATTCGAATCGCGCTCTCGCATGACCTCCTCACGTTTTTTTTTTTTTTTTTGTCAGCACTCATGCTCTCGCTTGAGATGTCTTCGTAATTTGCAAGATTTGCTTCAATGCTCCGCCCGCCAGATCCGCCCGTTCGGGCCCGCCCACCCGACCCGCCCGTTGGGGTCCGCCCGCCCGACCCACCACTTCGCCCGTTAGGACCGGCCCGCCCGTCAGCTTGCCAAAATATTGTTCCTCCCTCCCCCCCCTCCTGCTCAGCATTCTTTGCCCTCAATCCTCCTCTGACGCATGCCTGATCGCTTGCTCTGCTGACTCTCCGTGCCCGTCGCCTCCCGCGTGGGGCTTGCGGACCGCCCCACCTGCTCTGCGCAGTCGGCCCGCCCCACCGCACGGCAACCCCCGAAAGTTGGGTGCCGGGGGGGGGAGGAGGGGGTTTTGGTGGGGGGCCGATCTCGCGGGCCGGCTGGTGGGATAGGCTGGGGGTCTGCCTGGCCACCCCCACCCGCCTGGCCAGGGCGGGCCACGAGGGGCAGTCCCTCGGGGCGCCCTTTCGGGGCGCCTCCCGCCGCCCCTGTTGTGCTGGCCCGCAGACCCTTCGGGGTGGAGGCGCTCGCAGCGGGGCGGACGCCCCGAGGGGAGCCGTCACCAACCACAGGCTCTGACCACAGGCTCCTCTCTTCCGTTTCCCCCCTTCCTTCTCGTTTCGTTTTTTTTTTTTTTTTTTTTTTTTTTTTTTTTTTGTTTGTTTTTTTTGTTTTTTTGTTCTCTCTCTCTCTCTCTCTCGCTGTCTCATTTCCCATGGGTGGTGGTACGATCGACGAATCAGGGTCGGGTACAGAGGGCCTGGGCTGGTCTATACATGTTGAGTGGCGCGGGGGCGGAGAAGGCTAACAGTTTATCATGACTGTTGACTTCTCACTGCTGAAGAGTACGGTCGATGACTCGCCAATTGAACTAAACTGAGCTTTTTGCGCCCCCCTCCGAACCTGCATGCGTGTAGGTTCGGAGTGCTTTTCGAACCTACATGCGTGCAGGTTTGGGCTTTCTTTTCGCCATCTTCAACCTCATCCTCGCCGTCATCACCGCCAGCATCGTCGTCATCATTCGCGTCATCACCATCATCATTGTCATCATCGTCTTCACCGTCAGCGTTGGATTTGCCTCACCATCGTCATCCTGATCGCCATCATCTTCAATGACGTCGAAGTTATTGCACCTTCATCGTTATCAATAGCGTCCCCATTATGCGCCTTGCTTTCCCGAACGGGGGGGATGAGGGGATGAGGGGGATGATTGGACGGAGGAGGAACGAGGAGGCATGCGTTGCAGAAAGGAGTAGTAACAGACAATCGTCGTCGTTGTCGTTATTTTTGTCGTTGTCGTTGTTGTTGTCGTTGTCGCTGTCGTTCTCGTCGCCATCGTCGTCGTCGTAGTCGTCGTCGTCGTCGTCGTCGTCGTCGTAGTAGTAGTAGTAGTAGTAGTTGTAGTAGTACTACTAGTAGCAGGAACAGAAGTGGTAGTGGTAATCGTAGTGGTAGTGGTCGTAGTAGTAGTAGTAGTAGTAGTAGTAGTAGTAGTAGTCGTAGTCGTAGTCGTAGTCGTAGTCGTAGTCGTAGTCGTAGTCGTAGTCGTAGTCGTAGTCGTAGTCGTAGTCGTAGTCGTAGTCGTAGTCGTAGTCGTAGTCGTAGTCGTAGTAGTAGTAGTAGTAAGTAGTATTAAGTAGTAAGTCTAGTAGTAGTATAGTAATAAGTAGTAGCTAGTTAGTATTAGTAGTAGTAGTAGTAAAGTAGTTGTAGGTAGCAGGTATAGTAGTAGTGTAGTATGTATAGTCGAGTAGCAGTAGTACGTAGCAGTCGTAGTAGTAGTAGTAGTATTAGTAGATAGTAATTAGTAGTATAGTAGATAGTAGTAGTCGTAAGCAAGTAGTAGTATCGTAGTAGTAGTAGGTAAGTAGTAGTAGTAGTAGTAGTGGTCAAGACGTATAAGTAGTGAGTAGTACATTAGTAGTGAGTAGTCGTACGTAAGTAGTCTAGTAGTATTGAGTAGTATAGTAGTAGTGTAGTAACAGTGATGTAGTAGTAGTAGTTTGTAGTAGTCATTCAGTAGTATTAAGTAGTAGTAGTATTGTAGTAGTAGTATAGTAGGTAGTAGTAGTAATAGTAGTGGTGGTAGTGGAGGTGGTGGTAGTAGTAGTAGTGTAGTGGTAGCAGTAATAGTAGTTGTAGAAGAAGTAGTAGAAGAAGAAGAGTAATGAGTAGCAGTAGTCGTATTGATATTATTGTTTTTTTGTAATTGTAGGCGTAGAAACAGTAACAGCAGCAGCAGTAGCAGTAGTATTATTATTATTAGTAGTAGTAGTAGTAGTAGTAGTAGTAGTAGTAGTAGTGGTAGTAGTAGTAGTAGTAGTAGAAGTAGTAGTAGTAGTAGTAGTTAATAGTAGTAGTTAGTAGTAGTAGTAGTAGTAGTAGTAGTAGTAGTAGTAGTAGTAGTAGTAGTAGTAGTAGTAGTAGTAGTAGTAGTAGTAGTAGTAGTAGTAGTAGTAGTAGTAGTAGTAGTAGTAGTAGTAGTAGTTAGTAGTAGTAGTAGTAGTAGTAGTAGTAGTAGTAGTAGTAGTAGTAGTAGTAGTAGTAGTAGTAGTAGTAGTAGTAGTAGTAGTAGTAGTAGTAGTAGTAGTAGTAGTAGTAGTAGTAGTAGTAGTAGTAGTGGGGAGGTAGTAGAATAGGAAGGGGAGGAGGAACTTGACTGCAGCGCGAGGGCGAGAAGGGGGTGCGGGTGCAGGGGAGCTGAGCGAGCGTGCCCCCTGTCGCAGGCCCGAAACGGGCTGTTGATCCTGTATAGAAAGAAGCAGTGCGGTATGATGATGGCGGCCTTCTTCGTTTATTCCGACGCCCTCAATACAATGCTGAATCTTTCGGTCCTGCTCTTGGAAGATGCGCCAGGCTGACGCCCTCCGGGCGGCCCTGGCAGTGCCCCCTCAGATCCTCAAGGGAGAGCGACTGCGAGAAGGAGCAGGATGGTGATTATAGGATGACAATAATGATGCGAAGGAGGAGCAGGAGGCAGATAAGGATGACGACGGCGATGAACACGACGACGACAACGACAATGACGACGACGATGATGATGGCGATGGTGAAGATGACGGTGCTGATGGCGTTGATTGTGATGGCAGCGACGTCGACGACGATGATGATGACGATATGCGCCATGATTATTGTGGTGGTGGTGGTGATGCTGATGATCATGCTGATGATGATCCACGCGTCTAAAGAGGTCAGGAGCTCCTAGCTCGTACTGCTCCTCGGACCGAAGAGTTTCCCTCTGGCCCTGCGGCGGCAACGCTCGGTCTCGTGCGCCTCAGCGCACCCTCGCAGATTCACCTGAGTGCCAAGAGGCCGCCCACCGCCCCCGCCGAAGCAAGCGGTAGTACGGCATCTGAGCAGTCACGGCGACTCAGCCCGCTACAGCAGCACACACGCGCCAAAGCAGAGCAACGCAGTCCCCATGGCTCCTGGCCGCCCACTGGACAACCTTGCTCTGCGATGGCGTTCGGAGGCGATCCAGAGAGTCGGTAGCAAGCCACCTACCCCCTCGGTTCGGCCTCCGCCCTGGCGCGAGAACAGTGCGCAAGACAGGCGGGCTGGTACGCAGCAAAGCTGCAGAACGCAATCGCCATTTGACGTGCCAAACGGCACGGACAGAGCAGCGCAGCGAGCCCAGGAGGGGCAGGAGTGAGTGAACCCTGACGTGTGCCGAGCCCCGAGGGGTACGGCCTACGCCACGGGGTCCCTCTTCCCTCGAAGCTCGCAAGCTCGTCGCAGGCATTCGTGATCCTCGGACCCGCCTGACGCCACGAGCACGCGGCACCGCGCTCGGCAGACCGATGGGTCCCGAGCCGCAGGGTGCCACAACTACATTAAGGCAGATGCCGCGCGAGCGTGGCAGAAGAAATGTGAGAAAGTTGTCGGGACAGATCGCGCCCGTCAGCGCCTGCCGCGCGCCTCGCGGGCTGCGCGCAGCTTGGCGCCCACGGCGGCGCGAACCCCAGCCATCAGCCCGTTGTATCTGGCCCGCAGCGCCACGAGCTCCGCCCGCTCCGAAGGGAACTGCTGCTGCTCCTCGGGCTGCTCGGAGCCGCGCTGCTGGGGGACGTCGGACTGCTGCTCGGAGACCGCCTGGGTGTCCACGCGCAACGGCGTCTCGGCGAGAGCGACTCCGATGCAGCCTTGTCCTGGGCCTCCGACTCCTGCTCCTGGACCCGCTGGGAGTCCGCCCACGTGCACTCCTCCTCGAAGTGCACCTCCCTCGTGGGGCCCGCGGAGCCGATCCCGACCTTCTCCTGGAGGTCCTGCTGTGCAACACCTGGCTGCATGCGCCCGTGGTGCTTGACAGCGTACTCCGACGGGTCGTTGCCAAGAGGCTCATCATCTGCAGCCTCGTCATCATCGGCCGAGTCCCTCTCGCACTCCACCCCCTTCATCGCCGTGGTCGGCGGGCAGGCGCTGGGTGCCTTCGGGCCGCCATCCCGCCCGAGCTCCTCGAGCCTCCACTGCGACCACTGCGCGCCAGAGGCGAGGGGTGGAGGAACCGCCTCAGGCGCCGACCGCGCACGATCCGCCAAGACGAAGGCAGTGCCGCGGGTCGCGGCCCTCCCCCGCCTCGCAGCCGTTCTCCACGCTGTGCACGCGGCGGGCTCGGCTGCCTCCGTCGCCTTGAGTGCTCGTGCGCTCGCCGGTATGGCGGCCGACGCCGTCGGTCCTTCCCGCGTGGGCCGACGGCCGCGCCTCCGCCGCTGCCTGACCGACTCTGGTTTGGCGGGGCTCGACGCCGCGCCAACGCCAGCGCCCAGGTTCGCGTCCGTGAACTCCTCGTACTCGCCCTCGTCCTGCACATCGCTCGGCTCGTCGTGCTGGGTGCCGAGGGGCGCCTGCACCTTGCCCGAGCCGAGACCGTCCTCGCCCGTGCAGGCGTCGCCGGGGGTGTCGTCGTCGACGTGCCTGGAATCATCGTCCTGCGCTCCGTCGCCAGCGCACTCGCCGAGCTCGGGCTTGGACTCGAAGCTGACCTCATCGGGCCCGCGATCGCTGTCGTAGCCCTCGAGTTCGTCGTCGCCGACGCCGTACTTGATCTCGTACTGGTTGTGCAGCTGCACGGGCTGCTGCTCGTCCACGTGCTGCTGGTGCCCGTCATCGTCGTTCTTCGCATCGCCGTTGTAGCCGCACTCGCCTGTGGGCGGCGCCATGCTGCGGCGCCTCGCCTCCAGGCTGGGTCGCCATCCAGCCTCAGAGGGAGGACGGCTTAGAGCCCCCAGATCCTTTGGGGCGAGGGCGCCAGACCGCCCACGGCGCTGGCTGGCTTGCGGCCGCTCGAGCGCGGCCTCGAGGACCTCGGCGCCTTCACCGAGGAAGGTGTGGGCCCCGAGGTTCCGCGTCGCCCGCTCGGCGCCCGAAGCCCTCTCGCCGCGGATCAGGCGCGCCAGGGCTGGCCTGATGGCCCGAAGCCGCAGGGCGAGCTTGGCGTCCTCCTCATCGCCAGCTCCACCTGCAGCCCAGCCCCCGATCAGCTCAGCTCCGACGCGCGCCGCGGCGGCCACGGTGGCCGCGATGCCGTGCCTCGCAGCGCCCCCCGCTGCCGCGCCTTCGGCCGCCGCTCGAACCAGCGGCGCCAGGGCGGCAGCAGCGTCCAGCGCCGCGACTGCCATGAGTGCCCGAACAGCGCGGGGCTCGAACGGGCTAGCTGAGGAGGAAATGGCCCGAACAGCGCGAAGCTCGAACAGGGAAACCGCTGCCACACCGGCGTGGCTCCTTGAGCCAAAATGGCTACGGAGCATGTTGCTGCTGATGATAATGATGATGCTGATGCTGATGCTGATGCTGATGCTGATGATGATGGTGGTGGTGGTGGTGATGATGATGATGATGCTGATGATGCTGCTGATGCTGCTGCTGCTGCTGATGATGATGATAATGATGATGATGATGATGATGATGATGATGATGATGATACTGCTGCTGCCGCTGATGATGATGATGATGATGGCGATGGTGATGATGATGATGTTGTTGTTGTTGCTGTTGTTGTTGATGATGTTGATGTTGATGTTGATGTTGATGTTGATGTTGATGGTGATGATGATGATGATGATGAAGAAGATGATGATGATGACGATGATGATTTTGATGATGATGATGATGATGATGATGATGATGATGATGATGATGATGATGATGATGATGATGATCTTAGTCGTGAATGCAAGGACGAACATGACAATGACATGTGGTAGTGCAACGCCACATATGATAATACTAGCTGCAGCATAATAACACAAGTTGCTACGTGGAGTGTATCAGGGAAGTCCCTTTTTCGGCCTCCTAAGCTCTTGTTATCCAAGTGGCTTGCCCCATGCTGCCGCCCCCCGGAGAGGTCGTGATTTGATCTCTTGAGGGCTTCTTGTGGATCCTCTTCGGGCCTGCTTGCATTGTCTAGGGGGCCTTTTAGGCTGGCTTGAGGCCGTCTCGGACCGTTGTGGGGTTCTCCCCGGCCGTCTCGAGGCCCACTTGGACTGTCTTGGCGCCCTCTTGGTGCCCTCTTGGCGCTCTCTCGGGCTGTTCTTGGGCTCTCTGATCCCGGAGGATGCGTGCACCCCCCCTCGGCCCCCCGCCCATATAGCGGGATTTGTGACTCCAGAGACGTGGGAAGTGGGTATTGGGGACAGCCGCATGCCTCACACGCCTTCTCGCCCGGGGCAAGCGGGGGCCAGCAATTTCTGCACGACGTGGGCCCCGGGCAGCTCTCGACACCTCCTCGGCGAACGATTTTTCGTCCCAGGTTGTTTGCGATGATCCCGGGGTCCGAACCCCTCTCAAACTCTTGGCCATGTGGGGCGCTCCAGGAAGGGCCTCGCCTTCGAGGGTCGAAATGTTTGGCATCTCTATTCATTGTCGGGAAGCTGGCGGAGGGCTGGCGGAAGGCGGCGGAAGGCCAGCGGCGGAAGACGGCGGGTGCGCCGCGAGGAGGTGTCAACATTCTTGGATCCAGGGTATCCGGAGCAGGCCATACCATGCTCGAGGATCAGCCTGGGGTCCAAGAGTAGCCAAAAACGGACGTGCCGTCCTTGGCGCTGGGCCAGAGATGTCAGGGCGAGGGTGGTGGCCCTTTTGCGCGCCGCCAGCCGCCACGCCTGTCTCTCCGATGGTATGCTCCGATGTATCTCGGCGTGGCCCGAGACACGGCGGAGCCCAAGCGCGGCCATATGCAGTGGGGAGGAGTGAGGGGGTTAGGGACGTTAGCGGGAGATAGGATCAGGAGAGCATGCATGGACCCCCAATGGCCCATTCATCGACGATAGGGCGTGATAGCCCACCCCGCCCAGGGAAGTGCGGATTAGCCATCGGGGGCCTATCGCTGACCTGTCGGCGATGCGTCGCCAATTTCAGGTCGACGTTCCCCCCTCCTATGAGGCAGCCCCCCCCCTACCGTTCTTCCTGAGGGAGGGGGAGGAGGAGGGTGATGGATAGAGCGAGAGTGAGAGATCGAGAGAGAGAGAGAGGAAGAGAGAGAGAGAGAGACAAGGAGGCAGCAGCAGAGGCGCATTGAATCCACCAGCCGAGGCAAAACAGGCTCCAGCCTCAGCCCCCGAACCTCCGATTATTGCAAGGGCCAGGCTCCACTGCCAGAGCACATCCACATCCACTGCTTCGGGGTCCTGCCCTGGGACCCCAAGGAGGGTTGGATGTGGATATCCTCCCGCCCTGAGGAGCGTGCAAATGTCCGTGTCCCCAAACCCCCCGAGGTCCCGGGGCATGACCCCGAAGCGGCGGATGTGCACATTCAGATGAGCAATCAGTTATCATAATGATACGTTGCAGGATTTCCCAGATTTCCAGGATTCCCGAGATTTCCTATTTCGCCACAGGGGCTTCAGGAACGAGCGCCGCTAGAGATGGTCTTGAACTCCTGAACTGTATCCTGAGCCAATCGCATCATGACATTATTCTTGTCCTAGATATGTCCTGGCGGTACCTGGGCGGTGCGCGGTGACTCCTCGTGGAGCGGGGCTGGCGGAGTCTATATCGACATGGGACGTGGCAACCTTCGGTAATTTCATGCTCGCCGCTTGCGGACCCCGTCGCGCTGCTGGGTGTTGGGGGAGCTTGCCGGGAGGGAGATGGGGAGGGAGGTAAGGAGGGAGGGAGGGACAGACGAGGGCGTGTCTGACATAAACCGGTTCCCTATAGCCATGGCCAGTACTTTCATGCAGGACCTCAGTTCGTAAATTCAAGCGGAGGCCACTGCTCTCGACGAGGCCATCAAGAACGTGGCGCGTTTGATTGCCTAAGGCACGCGGCTGTCATATTGCTGTCCTAATCTCCGGCGGAATAAGCGGGGAAACACGATCATAAGGCGGAGGATGATGATGATGAGGAGGATGAGGAGTATGATGAGGAGTATGTTTCTTTCGCAGACAAACTCATACACATTGATCACGCGTGCCTGAATCAGAGTGGTGTCCATGCTACGGCAGCAGCTCTTCTTCAGGAGGAGGGGGAGATTGAGGTGGAGGTTGCTGATGAAGGCGAAGAGGGAGTAGGGTGGGGACGGGGACGGAGAAGGGAGGATGAGACCAAGCGTGTTGACGGCCAGCTCTGCCGTTCTTTTGCGAACGCAGCTGCGCAGCTGCTTCCAAACACTGCTGGGCCAATCTCAGGATGGCATACTCATCGCTTATACTTGGTATTAGCTCCGCTGTTCTTTCGGGCAGGCAATCTCGAGGATGGCATGCTCATCGCTTATACAGTTCACGCTCGCAGCCTCATGCGCTGAGATTGCAGTCAAGACGATGAAATAAGGATCACCTTGGGCTTCGGAGTGGCTCTAGTTTTCGGGCCGTTCCTGAGATCTAGGTCGGGGGACCTATTCGTGGCCGAGGCTCGCCGTGGGCCGAAAAGCTCAGTCGTTCCTTACTCAGCATACCTTATGGTAGCGCGATGACTGCACACATGGAGCGATCACGGCCCGTGTGCTGAGATTGCGGGCTTAACTCGCCGCGAACGGCGTGCTCCCTGCAGGGTTCAGCTCGCGCGCAGCCTGAACAGGCGAACCGCAGCTCGGCGCGAGGTCGGCACAGGGCCCCACATGGCGGCGCCTCTGGCGCCGCCTTCTTCCTCTTCGCCTCTCATCTTCTTACAACTACTCAACGTGAATTTTATCATTTTCTTTGAGAAAACTGCGTCCTGGAGTTGTCCCGCCCTCTTCGCGTATAGTTTTTTTTACACAGGGGTTCAGTATTGACATCTCATGTGTTTTTCAATCGGAGCGCTTTCGGTGTCTCAAATTGGTGTTACCGCGGCAGCGTCGCCCTCATCCTACGATAGGCGCTTTTCTCCCGTCGATCAGAATGACGCTCTTGCTCCAGCGCGGGCCACACTTTTGGATCCGAGTCCTTGCTCGTCGTTGTCGCCCCGCACCTTTCCTCGCCTTCGCCTTTCCCTGAGCCTCCTGCTCCTCTCGCTCCTCCTACTCCTGCTCCTACTCCTGCTCCTGCTGCTGGTGCTGCCGCTGCTGTTCGTTCTTCCTTGTCCTCCTCGTTTCACATCCTCCTATTGTTCCTGCTCTTACGCCTCCTCCTCCTCCTCCTCCTCCTCCGCCTCCTCTTTCTCCAATGAACACAGCTCTGTTTTCTGTTTACACGACTATGACACCCGTCGGCGGATAGAGAAAACATCAGGGCAATGAAAAGGAATGGGTGGGAGGGGTTGGAGGTCAGAAGTGGTGCGAGCGCACATAACTTGCCTTCTTCCCCTCTCGCCTTTCTCCTCCGCCCCCCACGCCTCCCGCCAACGGGCTGGACTCTGTCCGGTTGGCGCCCTTGCTCGCTCGCCCCACCCGCCTCACCCCCCTGGAGGAGGCTCTAGGGAGGACGGCTGAGCAGGTGAATGGGGGGGGAATGAGGAGCATAACACGGGCCCTTGAGGACTGAACGACGCATTCTGTCTCCTTCTCCTCCTGGCGCTTGCCCGCGCCAGCCTGCCGTGCTCAGTCGGGTGCAAGGCTTGAGATTCGTTCTGCGAGCTTTGCGGTCATGGCCATGGCAAGGGGCAGCTCTGCATCGCGTGCGCCCGCAGGAGGCTTTCTGGGCGTGTTCTTGTGGAGCGCGCTACAGGACGACATTTTCGTCATTCTCCCCCTCTGGCTTCCCTCGTGTTGTCCTGCCTCTGTGCTTGTGGGTCTCTCATGTGTGTGCGTGGGTGTGTCCGTACCCCCCCCCGTGGCTCAAACCGTCTGGGCTTGAGCACGCCCCTGGCTCATGTGCGGCGCCGTCGCCCCAGCATGATGGAGACCGCGGCGACGGCGGCAGGCCCGTGCTGCTTCTGGTCGCCGCTTGGCTGCAGCCGCTGCTGGCGCCCTGGTCGACGCGGGCCCGCTGGGGCTCTCTGGCACCGCTGGCACGGCTGGTGCTGCTGGCGCGACGTGCGTGGCCGCTCTTGGCCGCGCGCTTGCTGCTGTGAGCGCTTCTGGCGCAGCTGGCGCCGCCGCCTCGGCCCTCGCTGCTGACGCCCCTTGGGCGGTCGGCGCGGGCTGGGCTGCTCGTCCTCTCGCCGCTCTGGGCGCCCAGGGCGTTGCCGACGCCCGCGTGCATGTCGGCGCGGCCCGAGTGCGCCGCCCTGTGGCTGGCGCCGCTGGCGCCGCCAGCGCGGT